GGCCGGGCCCTCACTGCACCCGGATCCCGGCCCTGCCGCCCGTGCCTTGGAGGGAGCCGCTTGCTGGTGCCCCTGGGACTCTGTGTACTGGGCTTGGAACTTGTTAACCCTGAGCATGAGCTGCTGCTCTAGAGGGACGGAGAAACGCCGTCCCCGAAGATGCGCGGCGCGAGCTTGAGCGGTGCTGGAGTGGCGCGCAGCGCGGCGGTGGGTGGTGGCATTGCTCGAAAGGAGCTGAGGGCTGGAGCCTGTGTCGCTTGCACACCGTCCTCCTACTGGCCTGCTGTCCGTGCCTCCGCAGTGTGGCCTGGGAGAGAGGGAAAACACTCTTCTGAAGTTCCTGCATGTTCGGAGCGTTTCTTTGCTCAGAATTCGTGTGGGGCTGCGATAATGGAGTTATGCCTTTGTGGGTATGAGTAGTCACGCAGCAAAGTTAGACCAAAATTCCTGTGTCCTGACAAGTGTGGCATTTGCTCGCGTGTGTCATGGGGACTCAGGAAGTGTGGGCACTAGTCTGTGCTTTCCTGGTTATTCTCCAGAAAGCTCTTTTGGAGGTCCAGTGAGTAAGGGGAGGCAACTGGGGGAAAAGACAGTATAACATATTTCTTAAAAGCATTAATTACTTAATCTTTGTAGTAAAAACAGGTGGACAAGCTAGCCTTTTTAGCAGCAGATGCTCATTTGTTGGCTTCTCTGGTTCCAGAGCTGTCCAGGCTTGCCTGAGAGGGTCTTGTTTGGAAGAAGAGAGACTGAGTTAAGGGAAGTTTCTGAGTGAGAAATGAGGCTTATGCCACAAAAGCTGCAGGTAGTTCTGTACTGCCTTGCAGTGTGAGCATGCCTTTGTCTCCAGGTCATGTTTCTCTTAAGCCTGAATTCTGCCAACATTAGGCATCCTTTTCTGGCATAGCTTTATCAGGAAGACCTAGAGCCACTATTGTTTTTTGTTCTGTGATCAACTAGCCTAAGTCATTGTCATTTGTTGTCAAATCAGTTGTTCCTGTCTTTTTTTCATGGTTGAGACACAGCTATTTGATTTCTCTTCCTTCTTGTTTATGTTGCTCTCCTTGTCACAGCTCCTCCCAGTGTAGTTACTGCTGTTTGGGTTGTGATTGCACTTTATTGGTTGTGGCCTGGCCACTCAGGTTGGGGCTGGGAACTAAATCTGGTCTTGTGGCTTTCCACCATTGTCGTGCTCTTGAGACCTCAGTATTTCTAAAACCAGTAAAGCGACATTTAAGAGGTGATAGCAGTGTAAAATTTTGATAGTGTGGGCAATTCTCTGAATTCTCATGTAATTCCCAAAGGCAGAGATGGGGAGGGACCTTTCTTGGCTTCACCTCAAACCCCACAGGCCCACCAGAGAGACCTTCTGGATCTAATCCAGTACCTGCTCTATTGCTCATTTCCTTTGACTTCACACAGATAATGGTCCTCTCTGTAGCTTAATTTTCTGCTGGTGCACTGAGAATAACCCCTCCTTATTTTAGTACACTGCTGTGAATATGAACATATAGGATGATTTTAGGTGTTTGGATATTAGAACAGTAAGTACCGTAAGTACTTTAGAGTTGTGACTTCTGGATACTTAAAAAGTCAAAAGTAAGTTTTATATTAAAGGTATGCAGCTTTTGTTATCTGCCATTCCAGATCGTGGTCTGGAAAATGAGGTTAATGTGTTTTGCTTCGAAGTTGTTAACAGATGTACCTGTAATGAGTTTCTGTTGATAACTTGGATCAATAAATGTCCTGTTTAATAGATAATCCTATTCATAAATAGATTTTAAAAATACTTAATTCCTCTTTGTGGATCCTGGCCTTTTTGTCTGTCATTAATGTGAAACCAATTATGTCTTGGTAATGAGTATCTTGTGTATTTTTAACACACACATCCCTTAATCATGTTGCTTCCTTTATGAGGAGAGCTGTGAGTGGATTGAGTTCCTTAGTTCACAGTTGGCTCCTGCAGCTCACTGTGGCAGACAGTCTATAAATAGACCTGCAGTGGCAGAGTAGGGGTTTAGGCGTTTGTATTGCGTGTACTGTCTTGGGTTTATTTCTTATGTTTAAATGGTGGATGACAGATGCAGTTCAAATCTTTATGGTGCCTGGAGCATGTCTGTTTTGATCTTTTAAAAGAATAGAGTTGGTTCCCACTGTCTGACTCTGCAGATCAGGTCACTGCTATAAAAGTGAAAAATATTTTTACCTGGTTTCATTGGCTTTGACAACAGGCTTTGGGTAATTTGCCTCAGCATGCTTTGCAACATCCATTGGTTTTCTGTGGGGCCTGTCTGTGTGGATGATTTGGCAACAGAAGTTGCCAAAGGAATAGCTGAATGATTCTGGAATTGTGAATCTTGGGAATATAGGGAGGAGGGGTTAGTTCCAAAACTTGTGATTAGAAAGGAAAGTAGTACTGAATTTGCAGGTAACAGCATTCTTCAAAGTTACAATTGCTCTAGGATAAAGGCAAGGTAAGACTGGTGCCTTGACTGTTTTTTAGTGTATACACCACTGATAAGAACTTGGTCAGAGCTGTTGCACTGGCTTTTGGAGTGTTCAGATGCAGACCTTTTCAGTTCTCCCATGGCTGTATTAGTAGAGCAGATTCATGTAGACCATTCTTGTGAAGCACACTGGTGTTTTTGCTGAAATGACAAGAGGTCCTTTTCTTGTCCAAATCTGGTGTTTCTTTGGAGATACTGTCACCACATAAGTCTGGGTTGGCAGTGGAAGAAGTCCCAGTCTTGTGTTGTGCCACATTCCATTGCAGCAGTGTTCATGTGCCTTCAGGTTGAGCTGGATCAAGAAACAGAGCTAGCTGAAAACTGTGACTGATTTACGTAAGTGCTGAAGCCAGCATAAGGGAGGTGATGGAAGTGTGTGATGAGGGGGACATAGGGCTTCCTTTCTTGGTGATGTGTGCCCTGATGTTCATTCAAACAGTATGTAATCCTGTCTTCCTTGTCTGGCACATGTCCTTGCTCTGTATCAGTTCCCTGATGGTCTACTCATGCATTTGATGAAAATGCTGTACGAGTATTTTTTGTATTTTCCAGTTTTATTAGGGGGAAACTTACCAGAATTTCTCCATTCAAGAACCACTCAAGATTGCAGTAAATATAAGCTGGTTCTTTAATATTAAGTAAAAACTACTGAAGGTGATAGCTACTGCACTTGAAAACTGTGCAGTGGGTAAGTAACTTCTAGATGTTTATAACTGGTGAAGAGTTTCTTTGTTGAGCAGTGTTGGAATTTTGTGTCAGTCTTTTGCATTGAATACGGTAAGGCAGAAGAGCTCTTGAGAAGAGTATTTGCAGTAGCAGGTTATTGCATGCTCAAAAGTAATTCAGTGAAGTAGAAATAGGTCATTTTAATGAATATTTGATTAACAAATTCCTCACCCCTTTCTGAATGTTACTTCGAGCTCTTTTCTGAGGTCTGTGATAACTTTAAATGGATATGTGGAGAGGGGCAAAGTATCTCTGTGACTGTGATTTTCATGAGATAGAGCCACTACTAGAAATTAGTGGCAGCAGGGTAGAAACAGCAAGAGATTCGTCTGCATGGTTCTTTATTGCTGCTTTGGTGCAGCTATGAGTGGTCAATGTCATTTATATCAATAGTTGCCGTTGTGTTAGGCCACTCACTTTAGGATAGTGTCTGTTTAAATACTGTTCTTGCCTAGCATGAAAAACTTGGAAATTAATCCTGCTTGAGCAGGAGATTGGACTAAATGACCTCCAAAAGTCCCTTCAAAAATAAATCCTTGGTCAGGGTGTATCAGTGGCTAAGTACTAAGCAAGTGGTGGTGTTTTGCCTGTCCAGGGTATTTTGGAGTGTGCTCCTGCCTGTATCAGTTGGGCAGTACCGATGGCATACTTCTGGGAATTCCTACAAATTTTCCAGTGCTTGAAGGTTATGGGGTTACTCTTCCCATACACCTATGAGCACTGAAACCTGGTGACCTGGGGAGAGCCACCTTCAAAAGCAAACTTGGATCATATGCATTCCCTGTGCCTTAATGCAGCTTCCTCTGAGGCTTTTTAAGGCCCACTGGTGTGAGGCAACATGTGCTGGGAAGGAGAAAAGTGCTGGGAGCAGTAGGACTGATGGCTGTCATCGATTTATAGCAGCTCTTCAATTTTGGCACCACCTCTGAGTGTTCACGTGTCAGAACCAAGTGTGGCAGAGTGAATGGCTTCTGTGCCCTTCAGATTTGTTTAGTAAATAGCAACTCCACAGGGGCAAACTGAGGGCAGGAGAGATGAAGTTCACAGCCACAGAGGGATTAAATAGGGACTGGATCTACTTGAGAAGCACCTGGAGACAGACCCAGATTATTGACTGTTCCTTTCTAGAAAGGAAACTGGCATGTTACAATATTTGAAGTTGTGATTCACTCTTTGTGAACACTCTTGCACCCTTGAATGCTCCTCTTCATGCCATAGATGCATTCTTCTTTTCCCTTCACCCTGAACCTTCCTGCTAATTGGAAGCATTCCCCCTGTTTACTCAGTTGCTAACAGGATGCTTCATACCAAAGAATCAATCACGCAAAATTTCTTAGCTTGTGACACCTCTTAATGTGCTGAGGAATAATTCTTAGCTAAGAAGAGGGTACTGAGTCATCTGGAAAAATAAACAGTCCTTGGACACTTAATGCTATTGATGCTTCCACTAGTAGTTTTGTAACTTCAAACCTTCACTGATGTTGCAGCGTAGAAACAAACAGCGACTTCTGCCAGGAGCAATGAGTGAATTTAGACTTGAGCACATTTTAGATGTGCTTTAAGCACATCTGGCTTTGCTGGTCCTGACACTGCTGTCTCTTTGACAGCAGGCAGAGCCTGCACCTTTGCCTGCCTTGTCATGAGCCCGCAGACCTCTCCTATTGATCTTATGTAACGTTGAGAAAGAGATGCACCTTCTGCAACCACCAAAGCTACCATGCCTGCTAGGAAATAGAGATGGGGGTGACAGTGGTATCTGAACTCCCCAAGAAGTGTCCATGAAAGACAACAGTGAGGCCAAATTACTGCTGCTTGTTTGGGTTTTGTAGAGGGATCCAAAGGCTCTTTGTGATTCTGGAGAAAGTAGGAGCATTATTACCCACTGAGTTTGAATTTCATGTGGGGAGATAGCACACCCGTGTGCAGAACAGGACACAGGCAGATGGTGGGCTTAAAGCAAGTCAGCATAGTTGAACTTGCTTAGAAACCTGGGCAGCAGCAAAGCCAGTTATTGGACCTTGATTGCCAGTTGCACTATAAATGCAACAGGACCTTGCTGTCATTAGGATCACACAGTTAGGTAAGGACATGTGGCATAAACACAGCCTTTTTGGAGTCTCATTTCAGAGAGGAGACAGTGCAGGAACTCATTTGATGATCATCTACCCCAGAGGTAAGTGTTTTGTTTTTTTAGTAAATCAATACAGCCTTTGGCTCTTGCTGTTCTCTTCCAAATCTGCCCATGTGACAGAATTGGTTTGCCACCTGTGCTTTGCTCAGGTGTAGCCCTGCTCAAAACTGCTGTGGTGCACATGTCCTGTGCTTCTCATTGTGCACTCAGGTAATACTTGCTCTGTAGAGCAACTGCAAACCCTAAAATTTACATGCACCCCCAAGTAAGCAAACACCTTGGAGAAAAAAACAAATAAAAGTAGTGAAGATTTAGGCTGGACTTTACTTGGTTGTACTAAGAGCTGTGGCATTGTCTGTCAGAAGGCTCTGTGGGTATTTTTTTCTCCCTAGAGAAGTAAACTCAGCTTTGTTTTAAAAGAAAAGTTTAAAAAAAAGTCTTTACAATGTATTGCTGTAGTTTGGCCCAAAACTCATCAGAGCTGTCAGAGAGACAGATGAGGTCAATGGATTTTTAGTGTTTGCTTTATAAAGGAGAGAAAGAGAGCACATGTTGGTTACACTGCCAAAGTCACAGCAAGCAGTGTCACATGGTAGTAGTTGCAGTCAAGTGGAAAGTTAGCTGTACCTAAGCTGGCCTGAAAGAGGACTGGCTTTAGGTCTGTGTTGTTTCCTCCCTTCACTTGGATCTGCCGGCATAACCACCTGGGTCATCACTCCCTAATGATGTTTGGGAAAGTGATCTGGGTTCAGATAAGCCTTTGTGACTGCGCACGCAAGCTGCTCTCTGTCAGTCTGACAGAATGAGGTTAGAGAACCGCCATAGACGTAGGCAGGGGAAGAAGGTGTGGTTCTCAGTCGGAGGTTACCCTTGTAACCCAGCTCTGCTGCAGTCAGGATGGTGTACAGTAGCGTTGAACAAGCACTGTAAAGGTACAGGGAACTCTTTTCTCTGGGCAGCCTGAACAGGGCAAGACTGGCAGCAGTGTTACTGTGGTCTCTAAACAGGCTGCTTAATACCTTTGTGTGCTAAGAGAGAGCATTCCCTCACCAATGGAGCTCTGACTTGTTTCTTGTCTGGAAAATTGTTTCCTGAAGCTGTGATGCCAGTCTGTAGGTTATGTTGCCTTTTTCTTGGTTTTGTAGGTAACCTTGGTAGCTTTTACTGGGCCCTGCAGCCTCCAAACCAGTTCACACGTGAAATTCCCAAACCTGCTTCTTGTTACGTGATTCACAGTGCACACAGAAGGGCCCTTACCTCTCTGTGGAGGAAACTGCAATGCAGTGATACTGAATCCTGCTTTGTAGTATATGTGTCTGAATTACACTGCCTCCTGAATTCAGACAGGGGTTGTAGATCTGCTTGTAGTGTGCTGCAGGTGCTGCTACCACTTTGTGTCCTGTGGGTTGCAGCATCTAAATAGTTGTTGAGGCCCTAGTGTGTGATTGACGTAAAGGAAAGAAAGCAAACCAAATTCTGTCCATTTTCCAGAGTTAATAATTCTTTCGTTTCTTATGCAGGGTTCGTTACCAAATGGCTTTCTTGAATGGACGATTTGGTTTATCTTTAACACATCTAAGCAGTGCTGTGATCCAACGACAGTTCAGGTAACTTTCAAATTTTGCTTTTGTCGTCTTCAGAATGTTTCATGATTGAAACAGAAGCTGTTAAGTAGATCAAGAATAAGATACAGCATTTGTAATTCAAAAGGGTAATATAATTTAAAAAATAACCTCACAGTTTTCCTTTCATAGGTAGAAAAGCGAGTCCAGACACTCCATTTGCAGGTTCCTGGCAGTCTGAACTCTGCTTTTTCATATGTGTGTAAGGAGGCTTTCAGGCCTTTGACAGCGTTACATGGGCCTGCAAGTAGAAGTTGAAAGTGTCTGTGTTTCTCATGCAAGTGCAAAAAAAACAACAGCAGGCCCCTGCTGATCCAGAGCCAATTACAGTGCTTAAAGTTATTCAAGAGTTTATAATTTAAGTTATTGGAATAAAAATAATCTGAAAAATTACTTTGTCTTACTTTACAGTGCCTATTTAGTTATTTTTCTTTTGTTTCTTATTCCAGGCTTTAGGCATTTAAAGTTTTAAATTTATGGACTTCATATTTTGCAATGCCTTTCACAAAGTTTAGAGCTTGATCCCACGGTATACTCTGCCAATATGGGGACTCTCTAGAACTCTTTTGAAGGGTCAGGGCTTCAGTTTAAAGGATGAGAATAATCATTCCTAGGACTGTGGCCTAGAGAGGGGATTAAGACAATGCTCAGGGATAGGTTTTGTGATAGTCTTGGGAGCTATCCAGAGGAGGTGTCCAGGTCTTTGTGGCTTTCTCTGTAAGTGGGCTGCATGAGAACTTTGGCCAATATACACTTAAAGCATATATAATTGACAGTGAGAGGGAGGTGAAGTCTAGTCCATAAAGGTGGGAAGGACTTCAAAAATCTTAATGGGGAGACCTTTTCTTTGTGGGGTATTACTCAAAGACTGTGGCAGAAATGAAGAAAAAAGGGAAAGAAAAAGTTCTCCCGGTGCAGTTATTCATGTCTAGTGGTTTCCTGGACAGTCACATTTATATCTGTTTGCTACTGCTGTGTTGTACCACTTGGTCCCATTGAGGTTGTCCCTGCTCCTTCCTATGACAACACTTTTCTTTTTCAGCCTCCTCCCTTCTGTCTTCCCTGTTATATGGCCACAGATGTCAGGCAGAGAAGAGACAGTGTGGTGTTCTGCAGTCCCTGCCAGAGGATGGGATGGGAGAGGGTGGCTGCTTGCAGAGATCAGTGACTTCTGAGAGAGAGAGAGAGGAAAGCTAAAGTAGGCCTCTTTGGGAAACAGATCTTGAAAGGCAGTGCTTGACCTCTGGAGCAGTTGGACTAATGCAGGCTGACTCCGCTGGCCTTTCTTCACCATATGTAAAAATACCTGCTTCAGCTGATGTGCATCCACACCACATTTGGTGTGCATGCTCATCTTTTAGGTAGCTTTACAAATACAGGCCCTTCCTCTTCAAGGAGGGATGATGGTCCCTATTTACTTTACAGGCTTCTGAAAAACAAGATGAATGGTTAGGTTGCTTCTATATGCTGTCACTAAGTAGTTCAGCTGGCAGCAGGTTGGCATTCCTGCAGCTCTGGCCAGAGCTCAGTACCTCACTGCAAAGCAGTTGTTTAGCAGAAGAAAGAATCTTCCTGCTTTTCCAGTGGTCTGTGTTTGGGTGTCTTTTGAAGACAAGCAACAAATCACTTGAGTTTGAGCTCACTGAGTAAAAGAATAATGGTTTCTGTAAGGGAGCATGTTCCTGCTGTTCCCAAGTTTATTCAAAATCAGACTTAACAACTTACTATTGTGCAGTTTATTTATGTTGCTTCTTACTCTTGCAAAGCAAGCATACTGAAGATACTGTGTCTCTCTGGATTCCTTCCACTTGGGGAAAGTGGTGATCTCTTAGATTTTAGTTGGGAACAGCTTAGCACAGGCTCAGTAGGACCTCAGGGATCTTACTGAGAGCAAAAATGAGACTCACAGACTTCACTGAAGGGAAGGTTGGTCACTGAAGTCATTAGTGCTAGGGACTGTGTGCAAGATTGGAAGAGCCTGACTTGAGTCTTAGCTTCCTGAAGGCTGGTGAAATGGAAGTAGCACTTTTTTTTTTTTTGCTTGTAAATTGACGCTAGATCATCTGCAGTTGCTAAAAAGCCTGTGATATGCAAACCACTCTTCACTCCATCTTTTAGTTGTGTTTTAGAGTAGAAAGGTTGTTTTATGTTTGACATTTAGTAGAGTCTGCAAAGTCCAAAGCAGCATCTGGCTTTCAAAGAGCGCACTGAATGGAGTCAGTGTGTCACCCATATGGTATATATTTGTTGCTGGCGCCTTCCAAGTGGCGTATGTAATGACAAGATTCTGTGCTGGGTTTGCCTTTGCTCCCCAAGGATTATTGAGGAGATCTGTCTCTCATTCTCTCTTATTTTTTGGTAGCACCACTGGAGCATGCCGAGCAATACAGAAACTAACCCGTGTGCGAGTGGTGGACAACAGTGCGTTGGGGAACACGCCGTACCACCGGGCACCAAAATGTATCCATGTGTATAACAAGACTGGGATTGGAAAAGTTGGAGATAAGATCCTTCTGGCTATCAAAGGAGAAAAGAAGAAGGCTTTAATTGTAGGGCACAAGATGCCTGGCTCCACCATGACGCCTAGATTTGATTCCAACAATGTGGTACTCATAGAAGATAATGGAAATCCAATAGGGACTAGAATAAAAACGCCAATACCCTATACACTGCGAAGAAGAGAAGGCGAGTTCTCCAAAGTATTGGCCATTGCCCGCAACTTCATATGAAAGCTAAGAGAGGTCTTCAGCAATCCTTTTATATCCTTTCATGCAGTAGCTGTTCCTTGGTCCTTTTCCAGAAACTGGTGAAACATGAAAAAGCTGATGTTCATCAAGAATCTCTCCTCCCTTTTAAGAATTTCAAACAACTAATTTAAATATTGAAAAAGTTTATTTTTCTCCAAAAGAAGGCTGATTTTTTTCACAGAAAAAAAATTGCAGAAAAATTTTTTTTCACCTGCAATATGTTTGGGAAATGGTCCTTCACCCTTACTCCTCCTGTGGTGTTAATCTGATCTGTCATCATTAAAATGAGAACATGAAAATCCTTGTCCTGTATTGCTTATGTTCTCTTTTCCCTATTTCTGCCTTTCCCAGTTCCCCAGGAGCAAGACTCAATCCCTGGCCCAGTGATATTGGGGGTCTACAAAATGTTCTGGGCTCTTCAGGAACCATGTTGAGACACTTGAGCGCATCCAGAGGAGGGCAACGAGGCTGGTGAGGAGCTTGGAACACAAGTCCTATGAAGAACAGCTGAGGGAGCTGGGGTTGTTTAGCCTGGAGAAAAGGAAACTCAGAGGTGACCTTATCACTCTCTACAACTTCCTGAAAGGTGGTTGTGGTCAGGTGGGGGTTGTTCTCTTTCAGCAGGCAGCAACTGACAGAACAAGAGGTCACAGTCTCAAGCTGCACCAAGGGAAATACAGGTTGGATATTAGGAAAAAATTATCACAGAAAGAGTGATAAAGTACTGGAATGGTCTGCCCAGGGAGGTGGTAGAGTCACCATCTCTGGATGTGTTTTAAAAAAGACTGGATGTGGCACTCGGTGCCATGGTTTAGTTGAGGTGTTAGGGCTGGGTTGGACTCGATGATCTTGAAGGTCTCTTCCAACCTAGTCATTCTGTGAAATTCCATGAATTCTGTGAAAGTGGTTGACAAGTAATAGAGTAGGAGAGATACATCATGAACTATGAGTGCTTTGGGCACATTCAATAAAAACACTACTTTCTGTGATTGTCTAAGAGAAGTATTTAGGAACAATCAGAATCAGGAGGGCATGGTGGCTTGCAATGTTAGTGATGTGTGCTTGAATAGGGCATACCAGGGATTGGGAAGCAGAAGTAGGAAAGGGAGCTGAAGGGGGAGCAAAGGGTAAGGTGAGATGCAGCCTGAGCTCTCCACCTGACCAGCCCCTGAAATTGTGTTCTCAGATTAATGCAAGGGCTGGATTCAGATTGAAAGGTCTACATAAAAAAGGTTCCTTGTGGACTGTGTCTTGGGACCATTGTTGGACATCGTCTTTGGTTGGCTGTTGGTGGGGCTGGCTGTTGTCCAGTTTCATAAGCTTAGGCACAGCAATGGGCAGATGCTACTTTTGCTTTCAGGACTGGTTGGGATCCAGGAGCCAAAGAGCTGCTTTTCTATGGAGCTGAGCAGAGAAACTTGGTGCTCATGGCTGGTGAAGGGTCATCAGTGCACAGCACTCGTAGACATAGCAATGCTGGGGAAGAGGGTGCAGGGAGTGCAGTCAGCAGGTGTTAGGCCAGTTCCTTAGAGGTCAGGTGGCAGTGGTGGCTGGCTGCTCCTTGCCCTTCTGCCTCCTCTTCCTGTTATGCTGGGAAAGCTCCTTACTTTGGCTTTTCATTGCCTTATATGCAATTCCTTCACAATATGCATTTACATAGTGTGAAGGTCTAAAGAATGCAGTGCTGAGCTATCGCACACTCCAGTTACTCCTTGCAGATGCATCTGCCCCATGGTCCCCACTGTGTAATCCACATTGTCCCTGGGTAAAGTGAGCCCTGGATCCCTTCAAAATCCATTACTCCAGGTAACACACAAAAAATTGTACTATAGGTTTAATTTCAACATGATCCTTTAATGGCACTGTCCCACTAAGTAAAACTTTCCTGTGAACTCAGTTCTGTGGGAAAGCAGAATCATGTACTGCTGGCAGCATTTTCCTTGTCTGCTGTTGTCCAGGTGCTAGGGAATGTTGGGTCTGCTGTTCCAAGTCCTTTGTGCCCCTTGGCTATTGCCTTTAAGCCCTGGGCTTGCCTCCTCCATAGGTGTCTGCCCAACAGCACATCAGCAGAGCAGAAGCTTGCCTGGTTGAAGTCAGTGTTTCCAGTAAACCTGAGTGCAGTCAGCTTCCAGGAGGAGCTCTGTGTGCTTGGAGATGTTAATGCTGTTTTTCTAAGTGGGACAGTGAGCAAACTGCGTGGCAGTCACAGTGATAAGTGTGATTTGCCTCCCTCCCTTGGGTGGGGTTTGCTTCAGTGCCACAAGGGCATGGCACAGCCTGTCATCTCAGACATTGTCCATTGCCATTTTTTTCATGTTTAGATTTGTTTCTGGATCATATATGGAGTAGAAAAAGGGTTATATGCTTTTATGCACTTTAGGGAAAGTGTTTATGCCACTGAATTGCTCTGTGATCCTGCTTTAGAAAACCTGGAACTTTTGAAATTCCTCCAACCCTGATAAACATGTAAACAAATACTTTAATAATTTTTTAATAAATCATAAGCCAGTTGACAGGTCTGTTCCTGCCTTCCTGAAGACAGGAGCTCAGCCTTCCTTAATGTAAATGTGTTTGAGAACAGAAGAGGAAGATGCATTCCAATAACACAGTGCTGGAGAAGAGAATTTGAAATAGCACCTGTGTCGGGTATTTTGTTTCTATGCAGTCTGTGGGTAGAGCCGAAGCAGGGTTACCCCCAGCTGAATACCTCATTCCTGCCCAGCCTGGTTTATAACTTGTCTGAAGGGATGCTTTACTGTGAGATATTTGCTTGACAACAACTCCAGCTTCAAAGCATCAACCAGCAGGACCTGGGCGCCTGCAAACAATCCTTGTTTTTCTTGTCCTGACCATAGGGGCTATGAATCTCTCACAGGATGCCAGACCCTGCTGTTTGGATATTAAACATTTCACATAATATTTGCTAATAACTTTCCAGCATTTTGCTGAGGAAGAGGTCATGGGGAGAGGGCACGAGAGGAAGTGGGCAAGACAATGCAGCATACTTGAGATTAAAATGTGAAGTGATGCTTTAGTTCCAAGTAAACTGATACATGTGGAACTAAATCCTTAATCTCAGGGCTTAATAAACAGACATGCAGACAGCTAAGCTAAGCATATCCCATAGTGTGTCTCCTGCAGTTTTTACCTTCCCAGATGAGGAATATAGTCTCAGCAGAGGCCTATGTTGACAGCTTTGTGCTTGGCAAATTCCAGGTGCTGCCTGTAGCAGTATATCTCTGAGGGAAAAGGGTCAGGCTTGTGGATGAGCCCATAGCCTACTGCCACCCATCCCACTGATGTGGGCCCTGCCATAGCTGCAGCATGGTTAGCCCCTGCTGTTCTGGCTGCAGAGCTTTTGCAGATGGGCAGATGGATGGCACCTTGCCCAGGCTGATGTGGGTTCCCCAAGCTCTCTTTTCCTTTGAGCAGACCCTGCTCAAGGATCCTCATTTCCAGGTCCCCTCTTTTGTTTCTGGCACAGGGGATAGTACCTGCTTGCTCTCAACTTCCAGGCTGCACTCTGCTCTATTCCAGAGCCTTCCTTACAGTAAGCCAGTCCTGTCTTGGGAGCAGCTAGTGGGTTTCCTGGGCTCTGGCTTGGGGCATCCTTCTTTGTGATCCACTGAGGCTTAATTCTCTCCAAATAGGAGGCTTTTCCTTTTGCATCCATCCTACTAGGAAAGCAGATGTGATTTCCTCTTCGTGTAGCAGTTCTTCCTGCAGGTCCTTTTCTTTAAGGATGGCTACAGGCAGGTGGAATGATTTCCTCAGAGGTGAAGTAAAACCAAAATGCTTCCTATCTCGCTGTTGCCAGAAAGTCATTCTCTCTCCTGGTGCCTTTTTATTATTCTGCCATTAACATGACTCTATATCATAAATGAAAAAAAAAATTCCAACGTGATACATGCTTAGGAAGACTTCTCTCATCTCCTGTGCAGCTTCTGGGAGACCTGCCACCTGCTGCATAGGGAAGGGGAAGCCAAAGGCAGAGTTCTGGGGTCTTCTTGTCTCATTACAAATGTGCCCCCCGCTTCAGTTCCAGCTGAGTCTTTGGGTTAGTGTACGTTCCTGTGTGTTTGGATATAGGATTTGCATCAGCTGAAACTCCCGAGAAGGTGCCTATTGGCTGGTTATGGTGGGGACTTTGTGCCCAGACATTCTCCCAGACATGGGAGTTGGGGTAGAGGTATCTTTTTTTAGGGCATCCTGCATGGGTAGGGAGAGATGGCCTTTGGGAAGATGCTTTCCCATGAAAGACATGTGATGACACTGGGGTCTGGAAAAAGACAGGCAAGCACTGGGGATATACTGGCTGTGAGAAGAGGTGTCCCTGAAAGGAAGTGGGCGAGACATTTTATCGTGGAAGGATGCAGCAGGGAGCTGATGTCTTCCATCTGCTTGGAGACTGAGACTGGGAGGCAGGCGGTCCTGTCTCGTGGCCCTGTGCCAGCAGGGTGGATGGACCCCAGAGCTCGGGAAGGCAGCTGGTGACTTTGGGGGCTGGGAAGAGGGAGAGAGAGCTGAAACCTCAGCTGAACTGGGAGTGATGCAGCCGGAGACGCCTCGCTGGCTGGCGGGGCTGCGGGCGGTGAGCTGCACATCCCCGAGCGGGAGGCTAGATGGCAATGTAGGCGTGATGGTGTGCCCGACAGCCTGCCCCGTGCTCCGCGCTCGGCGGGCCCCTAAGCCTGAATGACGGCACAAAATCGCCGCACACAAAATCTCCCCTGGCCAGAACGTTCTCCAGCCGCCAGCCCGCAGCAGGGCAGCGCAGCTCCGGCGGCCGCGGGAAGGTTCTGGGGGGACCGAGCCTGACCTGCTCCCTCGGGAAAAGCCCCGGGGAGAACCAAGGATAGTACCTGACTGCCTTGGAGTCCTGTCTCCACGGAAGGTTGCTGAGTAACCAGGGGCGTCAGGGTCTAGGAAGATCGCTGGGGAGATCGGTCTGCAAAGCAGCATTCTGACTCCCGTGGGGCTGGTAGCTGGTTGGGAAGAGAAGCGACCAGCAGCAGGATGCTATTCATGGATTGCAGGGGGTTGCAAAACAGGAGTCAGAGGTCGGCAGCAAGGAGGCACAGCCTGGCTCTCCTGTGAAGCCCTGAGCTGGGCCATTCTCCCTATGCAAAAGAACCCCTCAGAATGCAGTCACTCCTTGCTAGGGTCTTTCATCTGGAGGCAGATGCTAGATCTCCTTCCCTGAAGGAAAGGCATGCTGAGCCTGAGGTTTGCAGGCTGAGCAGCATTTTCCACCCAGCCACACACAGAAGCAGTGGCATGACCCTGCTGAGCCCTTCTGAT